GTAACTGGCAAACACTCTGGCACTGGAGAGACGTCCTCTGCCTCCTTAAATACTGATCTCCTGATGAGCAGACGAGTGACAGGTGGTGCAATCAGGTCCGGCTCCAGGAGATCTAGTACGCCCTCTAGGGGAGAAAGTGGACAGACCTCCAGATCCCAACACATTCAGAAGCAACTTTTTATTATGTGACCAACAAAGCTAAGCCAGTTGTCTCTTTTTCTTGTCGGTCCTATATTTTTGGGGCCAACATTTCACAGTCTGAAAAAAAGAACAACCTTTTAACTTTTATTTTCGTTTTATTAAAAAAAAAAAAAAAACTTTGATCTTTTTTGGTTTTTAATTCTGCAAAAGAAGAGCCTTTTATCTTTTTTATTTAAGTCAAGTTTTTATAAAAATCTCGACCACAGCTGTTAGCTACTAATGTTGATGAGGTTTCATCACAAGTATGTATTTCCTCTAAAATAACAATGTAGCCTTCCCATATAACCTTTACATAGTTAGAAAAATATCTTTTATTTTTAGAATTATTGTACTTAATTTTGTTTTTACTAATTCCCTGCCAAATACATACTAATTAAATAGCAGATACAAAGTTTATAAAAGTGTGGACATTTAAGTTACAGAGGCATTAGTTTGTGAATAAACTTTGAATGATTTGAAAGGTAACCCAGGCAAAATGTATTTATAACCACCCGGAGGACTTCTTAGTCACTAAAATCTTTATGACTGAAATAATATCTGCTCTTGTATGACAACAGAAGGTACAGTTAACAGGGCCGATAGATGGGTAACAAACGAGCCCTGGCTGCTAGTTTGACACGCTTCTTACCAAAGGGAGTGGCCCTAGGAAGAAGGTAGTTAGTGGAAGCACTGGCACTGGTACTGGGATCTTAAAGGTTGGGTACTTTAGTTATTGGTTAACAACTGGTTAAGCACTCTGTCCTAATGGCAATTGCTTTTTTTTTGTTTTTTGTTTTTTTTACGATAATATTGAGACGCATTTGTAAGTATTACATTGATAATCAAAACGGAAAAGGTCAATATT